CCCTGCATACCCGCCGCGGACTCCCATACCGACCCACTTCGCGACGGCATTGGGGTTTTTGCCAGAGTCAGATGACGCTTCCTCCATCTCCATCTCTCTCTGTCTGCTCCATTTTCTCTTTCTCCCCCACACGGCGAATAGCCGCCTGTATACGCTGGAGCCGATATGCCCGTCCCCCCAGTGTACACCAAGGGATTCCTCACAAGCGGGACCCTCCCGGGTAGACATTTGGCCGGCGTGTCTTCCATATTGGTATTGCCGCCCACGTCATTGGATCCCGCAGCCATACATCCCATCGCCGTGCGGCGAAGCTTTGGATAGGGGTAATTTTTTATAGAGGTTTTAGCTCTAAGAGGACTAAGCAGGAGCATAGAGTTTAGTTGGAATGTTATTAGTAAGTTATCAAAAATGTACTAACCTTTTTAATTAAATAAATAAATGGAAAGTGTTCTTTATCCTTTGCTATGTCTTGTCTTGTCTCGTATAATCTGTTTTGCCTCTTTTTTATGAGTTTGGTCAACTCGGCATCTTTATCTGTCATTTTGTGTGGGATGATTTGGTTATTATTTACTTTTGATTATTTTGATTATTCCGAAAAGACTAAAGAAGTGAAGTAAAGAACTCGGCTGTAATTGTATATTGCAACTAAAAATTGTGCTAATTAATCTACTTATTTCACATTGAAACGATTTTGAATTTAAAGATTTATTTATCAAGTTGTTACAAAAATTTGTTTTAACAAAATAGTGGTCTAGCGCCTCGTCTTTGTGCTTGATTTTTTGCATGAAAAAATCTTTAAATTAGAGTATAGAAATTTATTTTTCGAACTTACGATAGTTTACATAGGTGCCGTCGATGTTTAAAAACCTTTTTATACTAATCTACTTAAGAAATATTAAATACACAATAACCCAGTGGTAGAGGAGGTAAAAAGCATGGTATGTTATGAAGTATGAGAACGTTAGTTATGAGTGTGGTACACCGGTAGAAGTAGACCTAGAAAATGGATGGAATGCGTGAAAGGTGACATGATGACGGGAGTGATGACTGAGATGACGTATGATAGAGTTATTTGGAGGACAAAAACCTGTTGTGCTGACCCTACGGGAGTAGGATAAGGAGATGATGAATAACTTAGATCTTTTATGTATAAGTTATGGGGATAATAAAAATAACATTTGCTATTTACGTAATGATTTAAATTATGTATGTAATATTGGTGATATTAGAATAATTTTATGTAAAAATAACTTGAAGCCATGTTGCCTTATACGATTTTAAGCTCTATACTTATATTCTTGTATATAACAAACATATACATTACAAGATAAACAGCCTTACAAATAAACGCGGTATAAAATTAAACTTAGGAATAAACTGAGAATAAAATTTGTAATAATATTTGTTTATACTCAGTTTATTCCTAAGTTTAATTTTATACCGCGTTTATTTTTAAGGCTGAAATAGTGTAGTTTTTTATTTATTAAAATAAATAAAAGTAAAGGACATTTTTGTCTTTAAACAATAATAAATTCCTGTAATTTAGAATATACTCATTTAAACTATTTATAAAGATAATTTAATTTTTTTATTTACTATACATTAAATGAAAATTAAAATTAACCATACAATTGTCTGAAATGTAGATATTTGCGAAAATATTAAAACAAATAGATTGAAATGTAACAAGACTACTTAATTGATGAAGCGAAGTATCGATATCACAAAGGAAAAACAATTTAAGGTTATCTTTGATTATTTTGTATCTATACTTCTATACTATTGTAATAAAGCGTAAACACACACTTCTTTGTTGCCTTAGATGTCAGCAATTACAGCATATTTTTGAATGATTCTTTTTTTAGTAAAAAGACCTATACTTTCGTCACGCTTTAGGCTATATATGCTCACGCCACTAATCTTAGGGGGTATATATTTTGGATAAAAACTCTAATGTGGGAAAGAGAACATAAGTTGCTGCCAACATCAAGAAAGCAAGATTGCTAAGGTTTGTCATGTCATGTCATTTTGACATTTGCTATTAATAATTTGACAAATGTAAACAACAAAATAAAATTTTCATAATTTCATGCGGATGAAGCCGCACGTGAATAGCTATTTCGTAGATAAAAAGTGAGAGGTGGATTTAGCTAACGGTTTGTATCTGCTGTCACCACAAAATGACAGGCTTCAAGGCGTGATAATTATGATAAACATTTAATTTTATGAAACTGTTCTTTAATCTGCTAATAATACATTAATTTCCTATTTAAATGACCATCTCAAATGTATGAAAAGTAAAAAAACTTGATAATTGGAAATACATAATATTTGATTAATTATTAGGCATGAGAAAGAGGCTGTTATTTTTTTAATGTAATCTCGTTTAAATTACTTTTTATTTAGAAACAATCATTTATATTACGTGATATTGTTTTCGTAATTTATAGTAGGATTGAACAATCTTGATACTCGTTTTATTATTTGCACTATATCTCATTTTAGTTATTTAGGATAAAATCGGATTAATTGCTTTTGATATGGCTATGATTATTAATAGAGAGAATAGATTTTGTACGTAATAATAATTTAAGAAACTAATTATAATAGAAATACTACCACAGAATCTTGAACTGTCAGTTTTATAATAGGACTAGACATTATATTGTTTTTCATAATATAACTAGTCAGATTATAAACTGACTAGATTCACATTTACTCAACATCTTCACCTGACATTTTCTTTTTTGACTATACTATCTAAACGCCATTTCGAATTATAACTGATTTTTTACTCATCTTTCAAAAATGTATTGCTTACTATGTTTATCTAAGGAGAAAAAGGGAACTCGGTATGTTTTGTAATTGCTTTAATAGTCGATACTCAGTTACTTTGATAAGGACTTTCGGATTGTTTTTATATCGATGTATTTGTACAGTTCCTAATTACATTGTGCCTTTTGTAAAGAAATAATGTATCTGCTTACTTCATTAATATTTATTTATACAAACATACAATATTACAATTAAAATATAATTTTTCAAATACATTTCACACATCTTTTTTTTCACCATTAATTCTAAATTCGGTATTCTGTTCAATTATATATCCTTGGCTCCTTTACTAGGTTGATTCTCTGTATTAAAGGAGCCAATGACTTCGCTTGCTTCGTTTATTATTTTCACAAAATTCACAAAAACAAAATAAATCCAGTACTTCAGCATTATTCCATAATAAATAATAAACAAAATTGGAGGAAATATGTATAAATGGATAGGCAATAAGACGTAAATTGTGTGCTTTTATTGCCTTTTTGGCGCTTAATTTGAAATAATAAAGATAGATTTCACTACACACTCTTCACACATCCAAGCCTTATTTCTTTCCGTTTATTGATATCTGTGGTTAATTAAAATAGCTTTAAATTATCTATACCGTAATCAGCAATTGCAATTTCGTGTCCATAATTTGTTTTAATAATTGAAATACAGTGCCCGATATTAGTTCTGTTCTGATGTCACTCTAAGTAAGTAAATATAATAAACTAAATTATAGTATTATAAAACGTTATTATAGTGTGTCTAAATAATTTAGATTAGTTTGACAATTCACTGCAAATTTAGTAGGGATTGGTTGTATAAAATCAGTCATGAATCTTATCGATTTTAATTCTTATAGAAGTTGGAATCGATAGATTCATAGTTATAACTTATCAATTGTAGAAAAAAACACTATTTTCTCAAATTAATAATGACCATTACAAATAATGAGAGTAAATAAATGTTTATTACTATTACAAACATACATAATCGAATTGGATTTCGCTATTATTTTTGTCATCGCTAAATTCTTTACACTATAATCAATAATAGAACTGTCGTCTAAATTAGTTAATAAGAAAATAATAATTGTAGTCTAGTTCAATAATTATTTAAACCGTATTCGGTTATCGATATTTCGATAGTTCGTAATTGTTCGCTATGCATGTTTGTTTCGTCACTACCGATACCTGTCTATTAAGTACGGCATTTGCCTTCATACAAATTGAATTCGATACTTCATATGCGTCATTTATCAAACTAATCTAATTTATTTAGACAAATTATAGAAACCTCTTAACTTTAGACAACGCTCTATCAATGCAGGCATTTGTCAATATTACTAAGTTAGGTCGTGTACGCACTAGTGACTAGTCGGAACACCTTCGGCGTTTCAAGTGATTGAAAAAGGTTGCGAACCGCAAGGTACTTGGAATGAAAATTATTTCCACGCACACTTTATTCTCTGTAGTTATTACTTAAATTACGTATTTTAAACTGATCGGCAGGCAGGCACATGATTTTATCAACTGTGGTTTTTGACCGCACAATGTGAACAGAGACATAGTCTCTTTGGTTACCATAGCAACTGTCATCCTATGTTAGGAAAAAATGTTTCGACTTTTAAGTAGAAAAATTTTAGGTTTCTTTTTAAAAACCTCTTGCCATTTTATGAATCTTGGATGAAATGTTGTCAACAGTTGTTTTTCGTCTTGGAACTGAAAGTTTAAGGTATTGTTCTTTTATGTTATGTAACGAGACTTCTTTTGCAATATGATCTAAATAAAGATGTGTTTGTTTTATAATAAGTGTTTTGTATTTTTGGCTGCCGCGCTGTCGGTAACAAGTTAAACAAATATAATTTCCGTCTTATCAATACATTTATGAACTCATTTCAAATCAATAAGCTACCCTAAGACGCTATCACTGACTACCCAATTAGCGTGGATGTCGTCAAGAGCGGATAGTTGAGTCTCTCTCCCCTAGAAAGTAGAAAAATGTAAATAAAACATAAATGAATTCAAAATACATTTATAACAAAAATCTTGGCAGCAATTTCATCGCCTGGTGACGTCCATCTCTATTAGATGTCAAAAATATAATTTTTCTTATGAATTTATTTAAAAAAAAAACGAATCGTATGGCAAGCAAACTGTTGATGTCACTTCAGGATATCGAGTACACTCAGCGCTCCACTTATCTGGTAAATATATTCAGAAAACTGCAAAAGTGCATTAAAGTTGTAAGTCTCGCACTTTTATCTCCACCTCGTTTCTTAAGTTCAGTCCTGCCTTGAATAGTTGCTAATTAACTATTGTTTAGTTCTATTCTATTACTAGCTTTTAAACGCGACTCTGTCCGCGTGGTATTAAAAAAACAAAAGTGAGTAGCCTATGTGTTCTTCCAGATTATCCTTTTCGTCTATGCCAAATTTATCGAGATCCGATCAGCCGTTTAGATTACAAACTCTAACATCCATCCATCCATCTAAACATTCGCATTTATAATAATAGTTAGAAGTAAAATTAGTAAGATATCTTTTACATATGTTAGGCTAGTAGTTTTTTTTTCATTTTTTATTATAGTAATATTTAGTTTAAGTACAACATTTGCAAAAAATTAAAGTTCATAGTAAAACTTGGATCTTTATAATTAACTCTCTGTGTGTTCATTATTCTTTGCCGATGTAGCATTGCACAAAAAAGCTCTACGATTTACTACGAGCTTATACTCAATAGAGAATATTTTATACTCAAAAGAATGCGTTAATTGTTACAGTATTACTGTCCATAACTTAAAAATACAAAACAAAAACGGCTTAGTTAGTTAAAACTTTAGTTAGTTAGTTTAGTGAAAACTTTAAGATTCATAGTATTCACTTAAAAATAAAACTACTGAGATTTGCTTTTATTTACCCTAACATTAAGTTAACTAGCATTTTTAAATGTAAATCAATAATTCATTACAACATCACTATCAAAAGCTTAATAAGTTTACAAAAAAAGAATAGCTAAAAATCGTAATATACCTAACTGCCTATCTGCTTTCATAATCTTTGCGCCAGGGCGGGCGGGGCGCGTTTCAGTTATCACGGGCTCAGTGCGCACAGGGCGGTCCACGGCAACGCACGAGGTGAGTTACTCTACAAAAAACATACGAGTATTGGAACCTATTTTGTATTACAATGTGTTTTTGTTGCCTTTTTATTATTCCCTTTATCACTAGCAAACTTGTGTATTTTTGTTGGTAGAGATTTATTTTGTCTTTGTATCATTTATATTATTTCAGGATTTTAATGATAGTTTTTTATAAATTTATTTTCTTCGTACTTTTGTATGGTTTGATGTTTTTTTTTTTATTGCACTAAGCATTTTCACTGTTATGAATTGATGAATTACAAATTGAAATGCAAGGTTACTTGAAGTAAAGTTACGATTCATTTGATTGATAAAGTAAATGTAAAAATAATAATGTTTGAAGTACATTAAAATTAAATATTGAATAATTATTTATCACAAACATTTGTTAAATAAAACTTTCGTTGAAGTTGGGATAGTTTCCGGCGTATGACAATAAGCTTGCCCCTTATTTGTAGCCAGAAAAGTAAATGAATACATGTACTTCGTTAAATTATGAATCTTTATTTTATTTATGAAAGAACTATTAATTTGTATATAATAATAATAGAATATGTATCTCGTTGATGGATAATATATTGTAGAAAGCTTTTTGTTTGATTAAAACAAGTGTAACATAATTATTCGTTGACCTACATCGCGCGCTACGGAACACTGAATATGAACTTACTCCATTTGTATAAAGTTTCATTAATTAGCATACGAGCTTTCTACCAGTATCCTACGTGTTATTCCAGACTATTCTCTACATCTATACCAAATTTCATCGAAATCCGTTTAGCTGTTTAGGCTACAAACCCTAACAAACATCCATCTTTCTTTTCGCATTTATAATTACTTAGTAAGAAGTAAGATTGATATTATGTTTATTATGAAATAATTCATTTTTTTTAAGTATTTGATTATAATTATTGATAATAGAATTGAAATTATGAAATCGGCAGAAAAAACTACAACAGTTTGAAAATAATCTTTCTTGTTATTGTTTTATTATTTACATATCATATATACATAACAGTGTATACTTTTATGGAGATTTTATAGAAGAATACATATCACATAAGAATAATGAAAACTTTTTCCGTTAATAATATAGGGATGTTTTTTTCTGTGATAAATTCCCAGCGAGGTCTCTAATACTCGGCTGTCAGTCATATTTGTGGGGTGGGTAAGGGGTACTCCCTCGGGGTTGATAAATCGGGTAGGGAGTTGTTAATTGAACTATTGATTTAGCTAGTTCGGCAATTTTGTATAGAATTGCATTTAGATTTGGTAAAAGTTATTTTATAATGTTTTCATTTTCTTTAATGAATTTGTTTTAATGACTCAGCATCTGTTTACATTTTTCATGATATTAAGCAGCCATTTTATAATGGCCAATAAAAAACCAATACCCTAAGTCCTTTTATACACACTTGATAATCTTCACTTAATAAATTAACGTAAATATCATTGCACCTTTTTATTTATATTTTTTATCTATTTTAACCATCTAAGATATATGTAAATTGTTAACTAATATACATTTCTAATATAAAAAAGTAAATGAAATGAACCTTATTACCAGTTTTATTGCGCGGAGATGAGGTGTTTAGGACGTCTACAAATTCCTAACGGCGTAATAAAACAGACTGCGTAGCGGGAAAATTTAATTAAATCTAAGACGTTTCAAGTAAAATTTAAATTTAGAAAAATATGATTATTAAAAAATTTACAAAAATCACGTTTCATTAAAATTATATTTTCAAAATTTTAATGAAAGATAAAATTATGTTTTCAAAATTTTAATGAAGATAAATAAAATACATTTTTAACGTTCGTATCCTCAGCTATTTGGTTGAGGCAGACATTTTCACGTATATCGTGAAATACAAAGGCATTATTAAATTCTCCAGTTCATAGCGAACATAAACCGAACTCTGCGTTATTTATTCTATTGAACGGTACATTTATAACAGCTATTTTGCGTTAAGGTACGATGAAGTAAATAATTTTGAACTCATTTTTTGGTGTTATATATTAATTTGAATATTTCCTAGTTAAAATTAAGCCCAAGTATTATACAGATAAATTATGTAATAATCAAATTAGATTCTGAATCTGACTGAAATCTAGAAAGATCGATTTATATATAGTAACAATTATGTTAAGATTTTCTGTAATTAATGTGCTCGGTCAAGAAAGATATTTTTTATATCTTCGTTGAAAGCCAACGAGCATTCCATAAAGATTAGCTCTGAGCTTTGAGAATGAATTATTTATGACGTCGATTTCTGAATTGAGGACAGGACTAAGAATTGGGGACATTAAGGCAAGTTCCTCACTAAGATATATTTATTACTAGCTTTGCTCTTTGTCCGCGCTGAATATAGCCTATCTTATGCAGTAATAACGTGTAGCTTTCTAATGGTGAAAGAGTTTTTGAAATCGAAACGAAATCAGTAAATTTTAAGTTATCACAACTTTTTTACATTTCTTTTATGTTTAGCTGGCCGGACATATCTTTTACTCCAAGTAAAAAGGGTCATGTGTTATGATTTTTTTTTTTACTTTTAAAAATATAAAACAAATTAGGCGTTTTTAGAAAATCTTTATAAAGTTGATTTATTTTTTTAAAGTTGTTTAATGACTGTACATTTTTACATCGTTACTAATATTATAAAGGGAAGATTTTTATTTTTATATGTAACGAATAAACACAAAAACTACTCATCCTATTTCATAAATTCTTTCACCATTAAAAAGCTACGCTATCAGTGAGTAATACAGGCTATATTTTTTAATTTCATGCGGGCGAAGTTGCTAGCAAAAACTAGTTTTAAATACATCGCGTATATACTGAATATGCAATAAGTAAGGTTATTTATCGTCTAAAGATTGATTCGCGGCCTTGTATCGTGTATTGTCGCTCCCGGCCGACCTTGGCCCGATATCCCGGGGACTTATTGCCGCCTTGTCGCTTTACTCCCGGCGCCCTACTCCCTAGGTCCCCCTCCCTAGGTTTCTCTCCCTAGGCACGGCTCCCTTTATCTATGTCCGACTAATGGAATTCCTCTGATCAAATTGAAGTCCATTTGTTCTTTGTTGTTAAATTTTAATGTCGGACTATATGTGAACTTTTTTTATTTAAAACCAGCTGTTCCCGTGCGACTTCATCCGCATGAAATTATGAAAATATTATTTTTTTGTTTACATGTGTCAAATTATCAATTGCAAATGTCAAAATGACATGACATGATGACCTTGCTTCCTTTATGATAGTAGCAACTTATGGACTCTTTCCCACATTAGGGTTTTTATCCAAAATATTTACCCCCTAAGTTTAATGGCGTGTAAATATATAGCTTAAAGCGTGGCGTAAGTGTAGGGATTTTTATTAAAAAAAGAATTATTCAAAAATATGTTTTAATTGCTGACATCTTAGGCAACAAAGAAGTGTTTGTTTACGCTTTATTATAATAAGTATAGATAGTTAAGATAATCTTTTAGTTACTAAGTTACTATTTATTAGAACATGGATTATTTATATTACATAGATGTCAAAGTAAGCTTTCAGAGAGCGCCTTCACGTAATAAAGAGCTTTTCATATTTGATCTCAGCTTTGAACAACTCGCGAAGTAAATTCACGGATCATAAAGGAAATTGCCGCGACCCCTCAAATCCTCTGCACTCATAATGGAGGCATGACTTTGGTTTTAGTATTTTTTTGTAAAATAAATTTGTGATTTAGAGGTTTAGATATGTTTTTTTAGTCGGTATAATTTTGTAGTCGGTATAAACGCGGCACAGCTTTTACCGTAATCTTCTAATCTTACTTCTTCTTACTTCTATTTATCACAGATTTGGAACACAGTCTAGAAGAACACATACGCTACTTCTTTTTTCTACTTCCTTTACCTACTAATTTACTAACTCCTTTTTTTATTCCGAGGGACGGAGTTACGGGCGAAAGCTATTCAATTATATTCCTTTGGTTCCAGGTATGGTGAACTTCGTGAGGATAACTGTTGATATGGGGGAGGCGGTGCTGCAGCATTTGAGGGACAGTTTCTTTGCTGATGAGCCGCTCAACAAAGCCGTGGAGTTGTGCGAGCGAGGACAGCCCCATGCCGCTCTCGAACGCCTCTGCACTGCTACTATAGCTGATGGACTGTCCATAGCTGCGATGGAAGGGGACACGGTGATCATTAATATTACTAGCAGACTAACGGCCGAGTACTGAAACGAATATTAGACACATCGTTTCGAAGTTGCCACTTACAAACTGATGACATATTTAATGGAATTGCGAGATAAAGCGTGACCTTGAGACTTTGTTAAACTTTTAAATGTCGTTTCAATATTGGACCGTAACCCATCCAGAGTATATAGTTTTGTAGATTTAGAGAAGAAAAAAGGCTTCAATAAACAATTGATGTTAAAAAAGCAGACCAATAATCGAGATTATTTTTGTTGTAAGAAATAACTACTATACATTTTAGAATGAATAAGTTTGTATATTTAATATAACACTATTAAGGTTAGTAAATTAGAAAACACTAAACTTAATATTTGTCATTGCTTTCCAGCTGCTCGGCGTAGCTCTCAACGGCATCTTATGACCCGGGGACATAGAGCAGTCTATCGAGAAGATACAGCAATCTTCAGACGAGAAGTACAACAAGATCTTTACGATACTCTACACCGTGAGTAAGGATCTGGATCTCTTTAACACATACCAAGTGGATCGCATACTGGAATGCAGAATTATCTCTGTGTCGGACGCGGCGCGCGGCAAGGGACTGGCCAAGGAATTGATGAAGCGAAGTATCGATATCGCAAAGGAAAAGCAATTTAAGGTTATCTTTGATTATTTTGTATGTAGGACGAGACTTCTATTCTTCGACTTGATTCCTATTAAATCCTATTATTATTATTTTATAGTGATCGACGCTGGTAACAACATCTATTGAACGAATTTGTCTGCACGATATATGCAATACCACGACCTTATTGTGTTTAGCGCGTCAAGCAATTTCACTTGTTTTCTGATGAGTGTGCATGTTGGAGATCTAATTTTGGTCCCATTTCCCAGATGATAGAGAAATCAAAAGAATATCCTCTTTCTATTCATATCTTACGACTAAAGTATTTGACATTTTTACGGATGTCTAGGAGTAGCAGTTGTTTGTCTATTTGAAATTCAGGGTGCAGTCTCGTTTTTCTATATTAATATTATAAGCAGGATTTTTGGATTTTTGTATGTATTGAAATAATTCAAAAACTTCTAGGCCGATTTAAAAAAATCTTTTACCATTTTTAAGGTATGTTATCAGTGAGTAACATAGGCTATGTTTTCTATGTTAGTCATTAATGAAATAGTTATTTCTTGCAGTTGTTCAAAGTGGACGCGACGGGCGCATACTCGCAGCGTATCTGCAGCTCTCTAGGTCTGCGTACTCTGCGGCGCGTGAGTTATGCGGACTACCTCGGCGCGGATGGTAAGCCCGTTTTCAACGTGCCGCCGCCGCATGACGCACTCGCAGTTATGGCGTTGGAGTTACCTTAATCGGTATTATTTTACGAGTATCAACTGCCATATGTATTATCCTATTTGGAGTAAATAAAAATAATGTAGATATGTGTAATGACAATTGGAATTTACAGTTAAAATTGTCGGTTTCTTCCGTATACTTGTCGTCAGTTACTGGCTTTGTAGTTAAATTTAATTGACTATTATGAATGATATTTTTGCAAATAAATCATGACTATGTATTATCTGACTTAATATGAGTATGTATTAAACATTATCTAGTAAGTTCTAAGCACAATTCACACGCACATTATGATTTAGTGTCAAGAAAAATTATAATTTGTATACCGTTTCATAGTAGAATCATATTCCTTATGTGAAATTGTGATGTTAATGCCAAATTAAACAGACTTTTAATAATTACTGAATAAAATTAGTTCCACAGTAAAGTACAGCTTTTGAGATATATTTTTAACCGTGCGTAATATTCTTAACATGACTAAATTAAAAAAAGTATATAAAATTATGACGTATATTTAGATGTTTGACGTATTAATGTTGTTTAAATGTTCATTTAGATGAACTATATAATGATGTATCCTTTTATATGTGTTTACAATCTTAGAGTTTAGATGTAGCGATGTTTCCTGCAAATGTACTATCGCTATAAATCTATATGTTAGATCATTTATGTAGCGTAAGATATATAAAATTGTTAAAAATAAAGTTTACTCCAATGTAACAATTTGTTTTAATCAAAAGTTCCCTTGCCCTAGTAATAATCTCTAGGTTTCATATGAATATTGTACACTTACTTGCTACATGTAACTAACGGACAAGCTTACTACGTACCGAGAGAGATATACTATGATATTTTTATCTAAACTAATAGTTTAACGCCCGAATCAGTCAGAACAGTGGCAGAGCCCGCTTTAACATCTTTGCACGAATGGGTACGCTCGCCCGGTGTAAACCACGACCACACAGAAAACAGGCGTGTGGAAGCAATTCCGCGTTTCGTCTGATGAGTGTGGTGCCGGAGGCTTAATTTTAGTCCCTTTCCCTTTCCAACCTCTTTCTTAAAAGGAAAGGATAGAAAAGTGGATGATGGATGGATGATGAGTGGAAGATGGAATAGGAAAAGTGGATTTGACGGCGGAGGAGACGCATAGGAAGGGAAAATTTTCTCTTTATGTGCGTCTCCTCCTCCGTGAATCGAGGGTAGGCAACGCATCTGCAATTGCGGATGTTTATGGGCATCGGTCGCTTTCCATTTCAGTGGATTTAGGTGGCCGCTTGTTCGTTTGCCACCTTGTATTATAAAAAATAATCTTGAAAAGATCGCCTCGTTAGCTCTGCTTACAATCCGTCAAAACTCCGATGAAATTTGTAGTTTCAGCGAGGCCTTTCCTAAAATTTTGTGACATGTTAAATGGCGTTGTAATATTAGGCTGAATAGCTCTGAGTGTTTATTTATTTTTGCTACCAATTTACAGATAATTTCACTTATAGCTCGTAGCACCGCTACGTAGGATCTACGAGAAACAATTGAAACATGGTTTCACGTTTTCAAGACTGTGTAAAAGTAAACTAGATGGCGTTTTATTTATTTATTAATAGAGAATCAATAGATGGCGTTGAAATAAAAATAAATATATGAACACTTTTTTTCTGTGGTCTTTTTACGTAAGTTCATTGCTGTACAAGAACTTATTTCGATGAAGTCCTGGCAAATATATATGCAAAAGTAATACAGTTTCAATAAACGTATCTAGCTAGTGCTTTTGGCAGAGTATGCTGTGATCATGCAATGGAAACGCACGACTTCTCACGACTTAAGGAGCTGATTCAAGCCTGAAAAATATGCGACCTATTTACAACATTTTAAATATGTTAAGTAAAAAAACCAAACTCAATAAATCTAAAAATACCATTACGTTTTAATAAGCACATGGAAACAGAAATATAACTAATTTAAACTAACTAACGAAATTTTTGAGACGATTAACATATGTGTGTACTCTGAGTATGACGATTAGATGTTCGGACCAGAAGACTTTTATTATTGTTACAATTTTATAAAGAGAATGTCTAAAAAACATAAATCATACCGTTAATGAGATTAAGAAATCCCTAAATTGAAAATATATTAGTACTATGTCGACTTTAAAGTTTACTCCAGTAAACTGAGTTAACAAAATAATTTGGCAACGAATGCCACACGGCAACTGCGACTGCGGTCGACAACGCACGTATGAACCCTCAGGCTCACGTACTCTCTGTTTGACGATAGTATTCCATTTTCAATACCAAGGAAATCTTCTGCCAAGTCTATATTCTTTAAACGGGCAAACACCCCTTTTAGTATTTAAACCTATTTTCTATTATTTTATGGTTTTTTGCGGGTAACATTATTTAAGTAATTTAATTGAATATTGTCAACTATGGTCTCTTTTTTAGTGTTTGGGCAACTATAAATAGAATAGAAGTAGAGATTAACATTACAAAACTATTAAAAGCCCCGATTTGCGTATAGTCCACTAAATATCGTTTATAAGTTTTTTAATAATGAGTTTCAAGTTAAAGAAAGTGTTTTGCAAGGGTTAGATGAGGGCAGGTCGAAGGGTCGGCTAAAATTAGCCCGCGATGCCGTCGGTGAATTATTTACTGCACCGGATCGAAAGCGCGTCGCCACGGATACGAACGACACCAACCGTGTCGTCATTGCAAGTGTAATGCTGTAGTACATAGACAACATTCCGATTACCAGATCTGTAGGAGGGTGGTATGTATTACCATTCCACTGTTAAATGTAGCTGTCTAAATATGTCTATCGTCCACGACTCCGTCCGCGTGGAATTAAAACAAAAGTAAGTAGCCTATGTGTTCTTCCAGAATATCCTCCATATCTAACATTTTTCATCGAGATCCGTTCATCCGTTAGGCTACAAACTCTAACAAACATCCAGACAAACTTTTACATTTATAATATTAGTAAGATTTAGGAAACTTGTATAGGCCCTTGATTTGTAAATACGTATGCATGTGTTGGTTGTGTATTCACAATTGGAAGTATACGCTATAAGCGGTATTTTTTAAATCATGAGCGTATACAATCGCAAGCGTACACAATCGTAGTACCATTAGAGGTCTCAGTGACCCCGCTATTGGATTTGAGAATAGTAAACGTGGGGGTATTAGTGAGTAGAAACAACACATAATGTGCTATCCCCCAAAAGGCAAGGTATCTTTCGAAGATTACCTCCTCGAATACAAAAAAGTGCTATTGGCAATAACATTAAAAATATCTGTTAATAATGTACGTTTAATGTTCTTTTAAATACTAATTATCATCTCCCGTAAGGTCGGCACAACATCCCCCCCCCTCATAACTCTGAAATCCCTCTTTTAATTAGTACGGCCAGTTACTCTAATAATTAAGCTATATGTTATTTGAATGCGAAGGAGCCAGCTGAAAGCGCAGGAACAGCTTAGTCCGTCCTGCATACGCTGAGGTGGCTACCATAACCACGATTGTGTTTTCTTTAGAACAAGTCCTTTTATGTAATTTCTACTTTGTAGCAATAAATACATATTCATTCATTCATTCATTTAATAATGATGATTTAATTACTAAAAGTTTAAAGTTATAATACTTGTTCAATTAAATTCAGGTCATATGTAACGGTAACAAGACGTGTGGGCGTTTTATAGTCCGAGGTTATACGTCATTTCTTTATTCGTTGTACGCAAAGGAAAGCTATAAAATATACGATTGTCTGATCGCGTGGGAGGGAAAGGTAACTAATGTTAATTTATTAATAACCTACTTAACGCACTCAGTTTATGATTCTCCTTAACGACTTCAAAAGAGAGATGTTTTTAAAAATAGCCACAAATATTCAGTACTAACTCGCCTTGTCAGTTAACTTGAATTTGAAAAAACAAATAGTAATGAATTAATAACCTACTATTACAAAATGTTTTAAATTATGTCAACTAAAATATTGTCAATGAAATGTTTGTAGTCACATGAAATTTCAGTCATTTACATTGAGTCGTTTTTCTAAATCATTTATATCCTTTATTGTATTTGTACTATACTG